CCGACTTTACAGCAGGAAAAAAGGTGTTTTGGTTCATATGGCTAATATTAGCCTTCATGATACCTGTGAGGGGGTGATGTTTTTTATGACTCATCCGTTTCCTTTATATTAGGTGATATTAAGTCTGCATAATTAAGGGCGTGGCCACTTGAGTGTCTCCTCACCTCAGCTGATTCCGGCTGATTAGCCGCTGAACTCGATGTATTTTTTTGTTGTTTATGCGGCTTTACACAGTCAGTTGCATTTTGGAATTGTTTCCTACAAGTATCAGATGATATGGCATGCTGTGTGCACTTTACAAACCGTTCATGTGGCCTCTGTTTCCCAGGTGAGTGAAATGATATACTTATATACCATCTCTATAAATGTATTTGTTTTATAAGATCATTCATCATTTATAATGTATGTTAGAGCTGTAATGCACTCCAGAATCTGTCAGATTGATTAGCTGCAGGCTCTAGATCAGTCATCTGAAGTGTTGTCATACAGTGTTATGCTGGAGTTCATCAAAAGTCTTGTCTTCTTCTGTTAAGTCTTGTGCCCTTTATTTGTCCTTTGTTTTAAATGGTGCACGCTTGTTCAAAACTTTGGTAAACACTTGTTGTCTTTAAAAGCACTTTATAAATAAACATTGACTTGACTTGACATTGAATTATTAATCCTGTTTACTTTTTGAGCACTGTTGAGCGAGTTCTTAAACACCTGTGATTGGTCATTGTGTTCCTCTACAGAAATGATGATGCTGATGGCTGCGCTGATCACAGCTGACCCATGAGAGACGCAGTGGAGAAAACTCGTTCTTCAGACAGCCTGGATCCACAAGTATCACTGATAGATTACATTTAAATAGATTTGTCTTTTTTATTCAGAGTCAACACATAGATATAATCATATAATCATTATCAATGTGCAGAAATAAATAAAAACACATCCCTGCATTGTTTATTATTCTTCTGTTAATCTACTGAAAGGGGCTCCACATTTGGTAACACAATATGCAACTGTCTGTAGTTATTGTTGAGTGTAGAATCATTTACCTCAGTGTCTCGAGTTTACAGTTCACAGTCTTCAGTCCATCAGAGAGAAGCTTCACTCCTGAATCCTGCAGGTCATTGTTACTCAGGTCCAGCTCTCTCAGGACACAGTTTGAGGATTGTAGAGCTGAAGACAAACTCTCACAGGACCCAACAGTAAGATAACAGCCCTGTAACCTGTGTAGAGGACAAACACAAAAATGATTGAATATTGTTGATCTGGTATGTTTAATAGTCTGAAGCACATCTGACTGTAGTGTCTGGTTTAACTTCACTAATTAGTGAGTACATTTGCTGATTTTAGCATTTAATAGTTTTATTGTCTATAAAACACAATTAAATGGCTTCCTTCAAATGTTCCAATAGCCCAACTCTTCATTAAACTCCTAACACACAGGACAGGATTTTTTTAAATTCATTCTTCATCTCAGATAACAAACTCACAATAGACCAGTGTTGCCAGATGGAGCTGACTGATTCCAACCAAAAAGCTATTAAACACAAACCCAGTCAACACTGCAAAAGATATTCTGAATATATGTGAAAGACACTTGTCAGATGATATATTAGAGAGCAGGCGTGAGCTTCAGCTGTGTCCTCTGTGTCATTTTCTGTCTAATTCAGGCTCACACTGATACGGCTAACAGCTACTCTGACTGATAGGATTTACACAGCACAAGACTGAGTGCTTGTAGTGACACTACACTACCGTGACACTTTTCCTGGTGACGTGAAGCCGATCTGCAAATCACAGCACAATAGATTAGCTGACCAATCAGAGCGGACTCATTCATTTCAGAATGGAAAAAAAACATCAGTGTGATCATTCCACTCTTACCAGAAAGAACTTTTGGGGTGCTGTTCATTTTATAGCTGACTTTTGTGAAATTTCCGCTTATAGACAATGTAATTTACTGGCTGTTTCTTATGAGATAGTTCTCCTAAACATTTACCCTCCATTAAGGGTGCTTTCACACTTGGTTCAATTGCCTGAACCGTACCCAAGTTTGATTGTCACCCTTTGCCACCTCTGAAACTAATCAGATGGCGCTCTGTGGCGCGGCTGAAATATGAACTGCATCCTGAGTCGTGGTTGGGTGCTGCCGACAGCCGCCGACTTGCGGCGCCGGTGTTTACCCTGATAGAAACCTATGTTTAGAATTTTAAAATGCATGGTGCTGCACGATGCCGAACGGCGCTTCTGGTGTGCGACCTGCTGAAAACATTTATATCCAGTAGATTAAGTGGAGTCTGCGCTACCTTTATGATGTGACATGTTTAGTCTTTTGATTCTAGAGACATTTGACTGTACAGAGCCGTTTTGACACGACAGCATGGAGATCTTTAATCGTATAATCACTGAAATTAGCAAGTTGTCTAGAAGTGGCTAAGTCAACTTGGATGAGTGAGCAATTTGCAACCAGAATATTTAAGTATTAGCTAACTCAACATCCTCTGACTAACTTTAGGATGTTGACATACTGTCTGTGAGAAGACACACAATACCCGGACTGTGAAAGTCTGAGCGATGTTTGGTCCCTAATGAACGTAAAACTGAAGAGTATGGGAACAGATATAAATCTAAACTCTAAATTGAGTCATAAATGATGAATGTGATCCGTTCTTACAATTAGAAATACAGGCTAAATTTTAGGATCACTTAAAATTGGAGGCAGATTAAATTCAGAGCTAAAAAACAAATATAAATAAATTCTAACAAATAAAATGCTTTTCAGAAGCACTAAAGAAGCTTACATTTATTTAACTTTTGACCATGTTGTTAGTTTCATCATTGGGCTAATAGATGGACTTCTACAGATGAAAGAATGAAGCACTTTGACTTACAGAGCTCTTCTGGAGGTTTTGATGACTGCTGATAGTCTGATGAGACACTCGTCTGATCTCTGGAATTTCTGAAGCTCAAACTCCTCCAGCTCCTCCTCTGAGGTCAACAACACAAAGACCAGAGCAGACCACTGGGCAGGTGAAAGGCGAGCAGATGACAGACTTCCACTACTGAGGTGAGACTGAATCTCTTCCAGCAGAGTTTGGTCGTTCAGTTCATTCAGACAGTAGAACAGATTGATGGATCTCTCTGGAGACAGATTCCCTTCAAGTTTCTGCTTGATGTAGGCAATTATTTCCTCTTTGCTCTGGTCTCTGTCATCCTGCTGTGTCAACAGGCCTCGTAAGAGTTGTCGATTAGACTGGAGTGACAGACCGAGAAGGAAGCGAAGGTAAAGGTCCAGATGTCCATTCTTACTTTCCAGAGTCCTGTCCACTGCAGTCTTCAGCAAATCTGTCATTTTGACTTTATTTGTGCTTTTCTGTATAAAAAACCATCCATGTTTCTTGTCTCTGTCTAGAATCAGATGTTGATAAAGGGCTGTAATGAACTCCTGAATGCTCAAGTGAAGAAAGCAGTACATGGTACCAAGAATGATTCCCGTCTCCTCCTTAAAGATCTGGGTACACATGCCTGAGTAGACCGATGCCTTATAGACGTCAATGCCACAGTCTTTCAGATCGCTCTCATAGAAGATCACATTGTTTCTGTCCAGCTGCTGGAAGGCCAGTTTCCCCAGTGAAAGGATGAGGTTTGGATCCCAAGAGACATCTGCTGTGTTTTCTCCATCATACTTTCTTCTGCTCTGCTGGATCTGAAAGCGGAGAAAGTGTGTGTACATCTGTGTCAGAGTCTTGGGAGATTCCTGCAGTGTTTCAGCATGAGCCCTGTGTTTCAGTTTCAGTATGTTCTGGAGAACAGTGGCTGAAATCCAGCAGAAGACTGGGATGTGGCACATAATAAAGAGACTCTTTGTCTGTTTAATGTGATCAATGATTTCTCTGGCCTGATTCTGATCTGTGAGTCTCTTTCTGAAGTACTCCTCCTTTTGGGCATCATTGAATCCTCGTATCTCTGTCAGCCGGTCGATACAGTCAGCAGGAATCTTACTGGCAGCTGCTGGTCTGCTGGTGATCCAGATGAGAGCAGAAGGAAGCAGATTTCCCTTGATGAGGTTCGTCAGGAGAACATCCAGAGAGACTGCTGAAGATACATCACGACACGTCTCATTACCAGCAAAGTTCAGAGGAAGACGACATTCATCCAATCCATCAAGGATGAACAGGACTTTGAATCGTGTGCTTCTTGTAAGGTTCAGTCCTTTAGTCTCTGGGAAAAACTGAGTTATGAGGTCTTTTAAACTTTGTCTTTCTTTCTCCTTTAAGTTCATCTCTCTGAATGGAAGAGGAAATATGAAGCTGATGTCTTGATTTTCTTTCCCTTCAGCCCAATCCAGAACAAACTTTTGCACAGAGACTGATTTCCCGATGCCAGCAACTCCTTTTGTCAGGACAGTTCTGATCTGCTCGTCTTGTTCAGGCGCTTCAAACAAATGTTTGCATTCAATCTGTATCTCTAGTGACTGATGACGTCTGGAAGCAGCTTCAATCTGTCTGATCTCATGTTCAGTGTTGACCTGTTCACTCGCACCCTGAGTGATATAGAGATCTGTGTAGATGTTATTCAGAAGTGTGGAGTCTCCTTGCTGAGCAATTCCTTCAAACACACTTTGATATTTCTTCTTCAGGCTACATTTAAGCTGATTAATGAAGAGCAGCTCATCTAAACACAGGAGCAAACAAACAGAGAGATTTAGTCTTGACTTATTTGTAAGTGTCAGTCTGATAGATTGCCATGAGTAGGGCCAGACAGAACTTTCTGACTTTTTTTTGCTATTTCTGAGGAGAATTGTGTAGTATCATAACTAAAAAGTTAATATATGAAAAAAATCTTTTTAACTTATAAAATAATAATATTTAATAATATTTAATGTTTACAATGCAAATCCAATTAGATCCACTTAATTGGCAAAAACAAAGCACAAGTCTCTTATATAATATATCTACTAAAAGATTTTACAAACTGTACTGTAAATAAATCAAATAAACATTGATCAACAATATTACTGAAATTAAATAAAAACTGAATGAATATAAATGTACACACATTTACACAGGTAATTAAATAAACTCAATGATGGACTAAACATCTGTGTAAATCTGCAGGTTCGTGTGGGTCTATTCAAGAGTCTCTTACCCTGAAGAGTATCAGCAGCTTGATCTTGCTTCATCTCTCTCAGGAAGAAGAGTGTGAGATCAAGAGCTGCTTCTGTGATTCTGCTTCTGTTCTCATTTAAGTCCTTCACAAACTCTTGTCTGTTTTCTTCTTGTAAGATTTTCTTAAATTTCTCCAATTCATTCTTCAGAAATCTGATCATTTTGCTCTCAAGATTCTATGAGTGAAGAAAAGAGAACAATATTTACACAAAACATTAATTTACACAAAGTTGTTCATCCACAACCTGCCCATTAATTGAAAATATATTATAATACATTACACTATGAGTCTGTTAAATGCTTGATTCTAATTAGCTGATGAACATTTAAAGGTTATTTTCAGATAAACAGTTAAAGTACATCCAAGCAGGTTTTGAGCACATTACACTAAAGAGGGTCACACACCGGATGCGCAATGCAGCACACACATGACAGCTGGAAGTATCGCACACAAAGACGCACACATTCACATGTTATTAAATGAAATTTCACAGCTACGAAGGAGAAAAATAAAAAATACCAAAAGACAACAGTATTTGGATAAGATGTTTAAGAGACTAGTCCTACACACCGGAGCAGTTTGAGGACAAATACCTGACAAATGTCTGAAATACAACATCTGAACTGCTATGGGAACCAGAGTCTAATAAACCTCTAAACAAAGACATCTTGGCTAAATTTGGACTGTCAGTGAAAATCTAACAGACATCTAAGTATAGCCCTAATCTAGACTAGTCATCAAATACACATGAATGAACACAAATGTGTAAAGTTTTGCTAATTTAGTGTCTTTGTTGCTATATTAAGCGACTTTGCAGACTTTTCCAATAAGATGTCAAAAAAGTGACAAGTAAATTTTTTTTTTTGAGTCACTGGAGATTCTGGAGACTGACGTGTCTGTACTGTACTGTTCATGCTCTTCTATATGATCAGGGATTTCCAGCCATTTCAAAGCACCAACTGCAAATGATTTAGCAACTTTATCTCAAAACAACTTCTGCACCAAAGAGTGTGAGTTGTTTCCCTGCTACAGTCAGATCTCCGCTTCTCCTCTCGTTCAAATATTTGTATATTTATTTAACTATGTTTTGATTATTTATTATTTAACCGCAGTTTGGTCTTTTATTTCACTGATCTGGTGACCGTCATCAGGGAAACAGTTTAAATTTCTGCTTAGTAAAAAACACATTCGTTTCCATTTGGGAGGACACTACATACATATACAATACTGTTGAGTGTGTAAGTGCGTGAGTACATAGTGTGCCATTTGGGACGCAGAGATATACAGTGAGGTGAATTCCCCTGCAGATGTTTCTGGACCACAATCACGACATCGGTTTAGGAGGAGTCCGATTTTTTATGGCTTATCAATCATTATCACATGACTATATAAGCAGCAGCCATTGCACTGTTTTTTTTTATTTTTCATTTAGATTTTCAAATTTAAGCAAAAGCCACCTAGTGACATTTAGCGACTCTGAGCAGAGCTTAGCTACAGTTTATTGAAAGTAGGTACCAACCCTACACCTGGGATTGGCTGGAGTGACCGAGGGCGTGCTTGAAAAAAGGCAAATGGTGGGGCGAGAGAGCGAGTTATTTGGTGTGTTGTTTTGGTGTGAAATAAAAACTATGTTGTTGCTAAGTGTTATTTCTGATTGTGTTTCCATCCGTGTTTCCCCCTCTTGTTGTTTTTAGTTTTGTTTGTTGACATAGTAAATATTAAATTCTGTATATACAAGGTGAGAAGCAGTAGAGGTTGGACGCCACACTTTTCTTTTGTGTAAATATTTTCTCCTGTTTTTTATACATAGTCAGGGAGGAAGAGGTAGATTTAGTATTTTCATTTCTGTTTTTTTGTTAAGTGCAGCTAGTGTCATTTGGGTGTTTAGTTATAGTGTACTTTTTCTTTTTTCTTTTTCTTTGGGTCCTCTCCGAGGTATCTGGTTTCACATTCAAGAAAAAGACAACAACAAAAAAAGACACGATTACAACTGAACTACATTAATAATTAATATTAAAATATTCTAAACCCTAATATTAAAATATTTGGTATGCATGAAATTTGACATTATTGTCAAAATTATTCTGATATTATCACTAATATTCGATGTATCGTCCAGCCCTACTCATGACTAATGTAGATTATTATATTCATGTATAATATTATCTCTCATTGTTTACAATAATATTCCCTCAACCTTCACCATTTTAAAGCACAGTTCTGTATGGCTCAAAATAAGCTGCTGCATGAATAATTGAGATTATGAAGGATGATGAAGATCTGCTTATGCTTTAATGTGTCCTTTCTGCAAGTGATTTACTATTACTTTCAAAAGTCAATCCCTGCAGATAATGTGATATGAAGATGCATGTCTAGTGCATCATCTTAGAAGAACAAAAATCAGGTCATTCCAGCAAGACATAATAATAATAATGATGATAAAAACATAAATAAATAAAAGCAAAGTTATGATAACTAGAAAGCAACTCTTTGCCATGTCGAAATCATGAGAAATTATGTTGTGATCACAAGAAAACAAGAGAGAAAATATGTTTATTGCATGACCTCTTAAGGCCTCCATAGACTATTTAAGACTATTTATGCAATTTTATTTAGGCAAGGGGCCAAGTTCATGCAGGATACAAGATCCAGTTCTCAAAAATCTTGTAAACAAATATTTCTGTTTCATTTAGTTATTTCACTGATTTTATGACTCAAAATGAGTTTTTCCTACCTGGAAGATCTACTGGAGATTGTCTGTGAAGCTCTTGTGTCTCCAGAGAGTCTCGTCTCCTGAATCTGCTGACTCATATTCATCACTGTAAACAGATAAAACTACTGTAATAATATATTTAGAGGCAAACACATACAGATATTCAGTCATTCAATCATTTTCCTTTGGTTTACTTCCTTATTTATCAGGAGTTGCCACAGCAGAATGAACCCCCAACTATTACAGCAAATGTTTTACACAGCGGATGCCCTTCAAACACCCATACACACTCATTCACACACACACACACACACACACACTCATACACTAATGCCAATGTATTTCAAGAGTTCACACTTAGCCAATGATCTATCAAAGCTTGTTTGGCTTGCTGTCCCGGGAGAGAGCCTGAGCTAGAGGGGAGCCTGAGCTCGGTGGATCTCAGAACTCCCCGACTGCGATAGCTAAGGGAACATCTGAGAAGGGGGCTAAAGCGTGCTTGGTTCTTAAGCGTGATGTATGTCTTTAGATGGTGGGAGGAAACCGGAGAGCCCGGGGAAAACCCACGCGAACACGGGGAGAACATACGAACTCCTCACAGAAACTCCCACCCGCTAGGCGAAACTAGGCCAGTGGTGTTCTTGCTGTGAGGCTCTCAGTGCTAACCACTGGGCCACCGTGCTGCCCAATCAATGTCAAGGAGGAGAATAGGGGAGGAAGGGGGGTTTCTTCCAAACGAAGATAATGTGGACTGAAAACTGGTTCTTTAAAGTAGCTTAAGGCTCATATGATTGGAAGATAATGATTAGCTAATACGAGACCGGCAGTGATAAATCATAAGCACGTGATCCTCTCGAAATTAGTTTATAAACAAACTTCACTTAATCAATTCCCCTTTAGCGCATGTGCTTGGACTTGTGGGGGAAACCAGAGCACCCGGAGAAACCCACGCCAACACGGGGAAAACATGCAAACTCCACACAGAAACACCAACTGACCCTGCCAGGACTTGAACCATTGAGCTGCTTGCTGTGAGGCAATAGTGCTAACCACTAAGCTACTGTGCTGCCCCCAAATACAGACATATATCTTGCAAACACTGAAAATAAACAACATTCTGTAGTGCCACTGCTGTGTCACGTAGTTAATCTAGATGAGGAATCACAAAACACACGTCACTATTGAGTTCAGCAACTGAAAGACTTCACAAAGTAGCTGTAGAGAGAAATATTATATGATATATAATATTATATAAATACTGTAAATATACTGTAAAGTAAATATATAAATATTTACTTTACAGTTTATTATTACACAAAACTTTTAAGCTGCAACAGCTATGATTATTTTTCAAATCTGTATTCAGACACATTCACTAAACAGTTTTAGCTGTAAACATCTTTTATATTCCATAAGTGAGGAAACGATGATAAAGAACTTGAATTGAAGTGAATCATCTCTCTCTATATATGTGTGTGTGTTAAATTGACATGGAAATATTAAATTATGATTTAATGAAAAATAATTATAAGATTAGAAACTAAATCTGCCACCAGGAGTCTGTAAATGTCTTAATGAGCCACCAAAGTCATTCAGGAAGGGCTCTCTCTATTGGAGTGTTCAAATAATATGTTCAAAACAGTCCATGAGTGAGCAATAATGTAAAACCATGAATACCTTTCAGCAGATGATGGTGTTTCCTCACTGAGGTCTGGTGGATAGTTTTTTGACCGGTCACTCTTCAGAGACACAGAGCTGGACACACATGATCTTGATCTCACACTGAACACACAAACACACCAGAGGGAAAGGAGCATCACCACCTGCTGCAGTCTCTCTTATGAACACTAGAGGGCACATGGTTTTATCTTCCTGCACTTCATTTCCCATCAGCCCCAGTGCTCCTGATTGTCTCTTTGTAACAAAATTAGCTCATAGGGAATTATGAATGATTAATTATTTGCTTGTGCTATAACTTTATTCATCACTTGTATTCCCTCTTCCTATAGCAGCTGAATGTGTGTTAGATAGTGTTCAGTGGAGTTATTGAAGCATTACTTGTGTCACACTTCAAACTGTTCATTATTTGCTCATAACTAGAGTCCCTGATCTTGCTGAATACTCTAACTAGTGTTGTATTGTAAGGTTGTGTTCATTTTTTGGATGTCTGAAAGAATAATAGCGTAGACAGCTCGAGTTTATTTTATTTCTGTCTACAGTTTGACAAGGAAAGGAGAGGTTTTGGTGTGATTTGTCCTTTTTCATTACATTCATATCAGACAGGGCTGGATTAACCAATGGGCATTATAGGCACAGGCCTAGAGGCCTGTGTGCACTTGGGGCCCCTGCGAGGGGGGAAAATGCAGATTTTGCAGCGTCTATTTAGGATAAGTGTAAATAGCGCAGCTCGTTGGAATAAGCTAGTTAAGCGATTTACAACCCATCACCGTTTGACTGAAAAATCAGATGCATTATAGGTTTGTAGAAGTTTTACTTTAAAAATACCCTTAAATATATATACACACGCATATTGAAGAGCCTTGGTGTTGCCTCCTTTGATTAACATTTAATTGTAAACGTGGGCAATACATTATAGATGAATTTATTTTTAAAAATATTGTATTAATCAAGTTTTTTATTCAACTATAGGGGTGTGGGTCCAGGTAGGGGGCCAACAAGACATTGGGCTCTATTTTGACGGTCCATGCGCGAAACGGAAAGCGCAGGGCGCAAACGCTTTCAGGGCGTGTCAGAACGCATTTTTGCTAATTTAAGGACGGGAAAATCCGCTTTGCTTCATGACGCATGGTCTAAAAGGGTTGAGTTGATTTTCTTAATGAGTTATAGGTGACAGTTAACAGTTTTTTTAACAGAAAACAGTTAAACAGAGCATCTATTGCATGAGAATGAGAGATAAAAGATCTACTTTCACTTTCGCTTTCGTGGATAGGGAAACCTTTATACACAGACATCAATTAGTCTATAAATAATTAATTTAATTTGTGAAGCGCAAAGATTTGTTTCAAAACTATTTCTAAATTCAGTTCTAATTTCTAGCAAACGAATAAATGAACAATAATAACGAAGTGTGCTCAAAAACCTGAGTTATATCCTAAAACACATGCTGTGCCCCATATGGTCTAAAACCTGACAGGTGGGCAAATCTAAGCTTGTTTTTAATAAAACAAATATAAATATGGATATAATAAATAATACTGCTAATAATAATAACATTATACAAAAGCTAATTGTTATGAATGAACTGAAAAAGCCTCCCGAGATGAAGAAAGCATGAAGGCAGTGATTTTTCATATTTATGTAGGCTAGAAAATAATATGTTTTGTAATATTTGAATCCTTTATATTTATATCCTATATCTATTCTTAATATATCCTATATATATCCTTAATATTTAAATTTTTCTAAAGCATTATCTAAAGTCATAAACAGCAGATAAATGTGTTATGGTCAGATATTTGTCCTTATCAGGAGTATAGATGAAGACATTCAGAAGAGTCTGAAAATGATATAACACTGTTCTTGTGTTTCTTATCTATTGAGCCTTTAAAGTGTTGTGTAAATATAATAAAATGTTCTAACAAATACTGAACCAGTCCATGTGTGAGCAATAATGTACAACACAACATACCTTTCTGCAGATGATGGTGTTTTCTCTCTGAGGTCTGGTGGATACTGTTTAGACCGGTCACTCTTCAGAGACACAGAGCTGGACACACATGATCCTGATCTCACACTGAACACACAAACACACCAGAGAAACAAACTGCAGGACAAACTTCAGTCTCCTTTACAAGCGATTATCAGACAAATATGAGTTTGTTCAGTTTAATTCAGCACTAATAGTTGACTGAAGGTCTGTCTGATCAGGTCACCAGATCGAGCGGTCTGTAATCTAGAATGATCTAAACACATTTGCTGAAGCTGTAAACTGAAGCTTTGTCCATCATTTGATCAGGCAATAGCAACACAAATAAGTGCATTGTTGTTGGTCTTTGTTCTTCAGAGAAAGTGTTGAAATAATGGTGTAAAAACAGAGTCAATACCTGTGTTTCTCTGAGAGAGAGTCCTTTACTCGCTCCTCTGCCATACTGCAGCTAAAACACCAATGCAGACATTAGCAGAGCTTTCAGGAAACAATCAGCCGCTGACCATCACCTGGAGATGACAATATACTGAGATGAAGAACAACACACTTTATAGCAATCAATGCTCACTTCACTAACAACACCGCACTCAAACAGACCACATGATGGGGGACAACACAATACTACTATAATACACTAGATTACAGTGTTTCTCCATTGGTTTGACTCTTTTCTTGAAACAGAAATGACATTCTCAAGACTCTAAGATCATTTGGCAAAACACTACAGCTCACTTACAAAAGCGCATATCTTGCCCAAAACAGTTCACTCGAGTGTCCAAACTAAATGATCTTCTAATTTAAACAGTCAGTGCCCCCAAAACGTCAAAATGTTCAGATGTTTGGTCATCATGGCAAAGCAACACTAAAACATCCCTCATGTCCACCTCACAGTCTTAGCCCAGTCCTTCACTGACAATGCTTACTGTACCGTTTTTGTCCAGCCGACAATGTATAAAACTGAAAACAGAAACAGGATTTTAGGGTACGAGTAGCCTCCAAGGTTTGACGTCACACATTGCACTCATACTGCCAGGGAAACGGTCACTCCTTTATTATTGTAATGATCAACCACACACAGCATCTTCCATATATCAGAGCAAAAAGAGTAGAGAGCTGTAATAAACTGTCATCAAATGCTCCAAGCATTCACCTGCTGTATGGTGTTCATGCTGTTATGGTCTTGACTGATTTGGACAGTTGAACAGACTATTGTGCATGTGATGACTTATACAATGAAATGACGCCGACACGTTTTAGAGAGAAAGACCATTAGACTGAGCATTACCAATCAGTTTAGATCAACTAGATCTATTCACTTGGAAACTGTGCTAAATGTCGGCTATCTGTACTTAATCATGTGCAAAGATGAACTTAGACATTTGAAATTTGATTAAATGAATGGGAAATTCAGCTCTGTTGTGAACAATTGCCAAGTGGTTCAGAGGTTTGTCCATGTTGTTTTGAGAATTTAATTCCTGTTTCAGGAAATGAGCCAAACCAAAGGAGAAAAACTGAAATAAATCTGACATACCTTGATCAGAAATCTAAAAAAGAGAGTAAATGCTGAAGCCATTGTGGTCCAGCGGTTAGCACGTTTCATTATGAAACGTGCTGACCGGAGTTCAAACCTCACCTGAGTCATTTATTTTCATTTTTAGTGCTAAGACATGTAATACTGTTTGGGTTACTTATATAGGTGTACATATTTTATTTTTTGTGTGACCACCGTTATAAAGGACTGGATATCTATAAAAAGTTCAGCACAGAATATATATTCAGATATTGCAGGAAAGGACGTTATGCTGTTGTAAAGAATAGTGTTGGAGATTCAGCTCCCCTTTAATCTTAAAAGCAGCTGTGTCCTTGTAAAGACGTGATCGTGTCATTAGAAACTGAATTGGAAATGACCTGATTTTAATATAGTCAGTCGTGAACTGAGGTGGGCCGGTCTAAGGCTTGAAACTCCAGCGCTGTAAAGGAGTCCCGCTCCGGCCCTGTGTAGCACTGCAACTAGTTTTTATTATACGTGACTTTACAGGACTCAAAATTAAGCATTTACCAAATGTATCTCTGACCACAACAAAAATAATTATTTCTTAGCCATAAATTTTAAATAATGTGTCAAAAAAAAGCTAAATATAGCTGTATACATGCTCTTTTTATTTAACAAAACTTTTCTCTAATTGTTCTGGCTAAAGCTCCCAGATCACCAGTTAACCAAACAATGTGTTAATCTCCTATTAAAGCAATCTTAGTATATATATATATATATATATATATATATATATATATATATATATATATATATATATATATATATATATATACACACACACACACACACACACACACACAATTAAACCATATTAACAAAAATAACAACAAGCAAAAGAAAGCTGGTGAAAAGCATACCGTGTGATAATAGGATCACGTTAACATTAGACCTGTTAATAATCTGTTTAAAGAATGGGGAAAGAAAAGAGAAAGCAGTAACCGGCGCCGCTGCTGCTTACAAAAATACATTTATTTAAAATCTGGAGCTCTTGAAAGCAGTAGGTCTGCAGATTCACAAGCATCATCCTTTGTCCAGTCGAGATTAAAGAGAGCAGATCGCACCAGGTGAGTTTCCAGGCACGCGAAAGAAAACGGGAGCGCGCACGCTTTGTAAACAGCCGCTCGCATAACATGACCTGTGCGCGTGAGTGATCTTTCTTTTGCTCGCGTGAAGACAGTTTTTTTTATCAGTCCTGCTGCTGCTTCTCGATTCTAAGATCACATATGCATACTGGGCTATCTTTATTGTCAAACCCTGCTTTTAAGAAAGCTACAATTTGAAAAGTGTTTCCCGCCAGGAGCGTCTGTCTCACCCGCCGCTGCTGAAATATAAACATCCGCATTCTTCCTGTTCACGGAAGCTCTGCTTTCACTTTCGATTTCGTGACTGTTTAAAGTTTATTTTGTGCTGAATGATGTGAAATTATCAAGTCAACCTGATATAGAAGAGCACAAACACTTTTAATAGATAAAAATAACCCACTATATTGTTAACATGACGTGTTTTCACCGTGTTTGGTTTGAGGTTTTGAGCTTCAGGAGCAGACAGTGCTATAAATCACGCTTATAAACACGCTTATACACATATAAACCCTTCATCATCTCCACAAATCAGCATAATGTAGAATTGTTAAACTCACCTGCAGAAGTACAGACGCTCTTGTGCAACAGGAACACAATCTGAGCTCTTTCACTTCACTAAAACACACCTGTGTGATCTACAGGTGTATCCTGAAATAATATTGGCTCCACAGAGCGGTGCTTACATGAATATTCATGAGATTCTCCTGATTGTGGGCGTGTCTTCAAGACAACAAACCGCTGAAGATATCTGTGCAGATTCTCAGAGCTCGAGTGTGTTGAAGGAGGATTTTGAGAAAGTTTCAAGAAAACAAATGAGTATTGGAGCTATAAAATAAGAATATAAATAACATTATGGGTCTATATATGAATACAGAACTTACAGATCTCTGTGTTAGTTCATATATTCTATAGGACACTTTACAATAAGACCAACATTAGATCAGTCAGTACTGGAACTGATATAACAAGCAACTCAAGATGATCAGGATGCTGAAACTAGCACAGAATATTACTGTTAGACACAAAATTAGCTGAACCCAGTGAATATACAAGGGAGAATCACATCAAGTGTTAATAAAGATGAAAAATCAAGAGAAAATAAGACTTTAACTTCAGCTGAAATGTTGTTTTATTCAATATCTCATTTGACTTTACATTAGAATTCAGTTTTCTTTATCAAATACAAACTCATACACACGACAATATCCAGTGAAATGCTTATACGACCAGCCATGACCTTAAAGACAACAAGACTATAAATGAGAAATAAATGACTGAATGAAATAAGAAATAAAATATAGACAAACTTTAGCCATAGGAAATAAATCTGTAGAGAATAAAATAAACACATTAAAACCCGTGGCTATACAACTGTAGAGAACTTTAGCTGTAAACTGACTCCATGTACAGTGACACCATAACTGAACTGAACTAGAATACACACAGAGATATGTGTGTGTGTGTGTGTGTGTGTGTGTGTGTGTGAGTGGAGTGTGTAACTGTGGCTGAATGTGCAGATGTGTCCACAGACGTGCTGAATGTGTGTGTGCTGTGTGTGTTGTGATTGAGAGAGCGTCTGGGGTCCGTTCTTCGTACGTGGATTACTCAATTAGCTGGATTTGGATGTTGACGCTTTGACACGATCCAGGATCGTTTCGTTCTTCAAAGCTGATCCGAAAGTTGTTGTCATAGCAACAGTTCTGCTAGGTCAAACCTAATCGGGAGAATATCCTAAATGTTCTTCATCTGTCATTTCCAGGAAATCTTCATCAGTGCGAAGGGGGGCATTCATTTCAGGGAATATCACCCTATTGCTCAAATATTCGCCTTCCTGCGTACATTTCTCACACCCCGAGTAGCCTGTGTGCCCTTTTATATTTTTCAAAAAAGCTCGGGCAGGAGCATCACAGACCATTGAGCACAGTTTGAGCCTCATTGATATTCCCTGAAATGAAAAGCCTTTCTCCAACAATGAAGTTTCAGCCACAAAATCTTCCAGGTATTCGGGAAGGCTTGCTGGCTTGCTAGTGCCAAAGAAAAGCCCAATTACAAATGGGTGATGCGGAGGGAGGTTTTTGATGACTCCAAGAATGGGCCAGAATTGGGTGGATGAACTTTTAAATACTGGCAACCCATCCACATTTGCTGGGAGCTCTAAGCATAAGCCAATCCACATTTGTTTGCCTCCAAAGTGTTCTTCATTGAATTCAGGATACCAAAATAATGGTATGTCCCACCAGCCTTTTCCTGGACCACCACTGACTCTGACTGAGAGGTCCTTAGAAGAGTCCTTGCATCAGATGGCAATGATGGATGATGCTCCTTCAGTATTTCTAATAAATTATTAATTGCACTGTGTTATGTTTTCTTTGAGTGCCCATGTTGCAAGTTTGCTTTGTAGATAAGCTTCCTCTTCCTCGTTAGAGCTGCTGTTTTCAGACTGTGAAAAATCTAGCTCCTAGGCAAAGATGATTCATAGTCTGTGAATTCCTCATCTGTGAATTCCAATTGTAAATTGGTAGACTCTCAGCATTAAAGGAATTATCAGAAGCACACTGAACTGACTTCAGTTGTTGTTTTACCCTTTCTCTAGATTTGCGTTTTAAAGTCCAGTAAGAGGGTGTATTTGCCATACTTAAGAGACACACACAAAACAAAAAAAATACAAGACAAAGAAAACAAAGGACACAACAAGAAATGACCATGAGTAACACTATGTAGTAAATACTGTGTAGTTGTCAGATAAAAGATATAATTACAAAGTCAGAGATGACCTTAAAACCTTGTAGTTTTAACAGCTGTTAAGAAACAGAAGACACATGAATGAGTAGACCTCTAAAAAGTGTCATAGCTTTTAACAAAATTTTAAGCAATTATATTAAATAATTTAAACTGGATGTGCAGTCTTGTTTTAACTTTTAATTATTTTAGGATAGATTTTTTACTCTAAGTGGTCCTGCTATTCTTGGCTCTTAGCCAGCTTGCTATGGTCAGCGAGATGTCACAGATCTATGTCATGTCAGCAACTGTTTTGAAACCAAAGTTCTCTCTCCATAGATACAACTTATGCAAAAGGAACTAAGTGTTTACATACATTGTCATAATAGCATAATCACTTGATAACATGTTACTCATTCTAACTTCTGACACATATAGCTTCACACAAGTATTTAACATATATAATCAGTGCTTTACATATTCAGTTATTCTACACAATCAGTCACTCAGCCTTCTCCTAGTGTTGCTCCTGTGCTGGCATACTCTTCTTACACAGACATATCACTGTATTTTTAACACAGGCTGGCATGTTTGCTGCATACATTTTGAGAAGAGAAAATTAACTGCTTTACACTCAGAAAATACTTCACACAGAGAGAATAAAATCTTCAGTAACAGCTCCGTTTTGATAATCAGTTTCACCAAGTCTTGGATATTATTTACTTCGCTTCCTTCCGGGATTCCAAAAATTCTAATGTTATTTCTACAAGAGCATGTTTCTAGAGCATGTTCTCTTTTTCTCTTTGGATAGACTGATCGAGCATTTCTTTCATCTGAGCAACGTTCTCCAATTCTCCCAACTCGCTGCTCCACTTTGTTGACCTTTTCTGCCGTTGTGTTTAGGTCCATAAAAAGGCCATCCAGTTTTTGATTTACTTCTTGTTTAAAGTTACTTAGTTCCATTTTCACTTCTTTTGTGAGAGAATCTTGGAAGGCGGTTAAGTCAGATTTAATATCCATCTGGAAAACTTTGATGTCTGAATGTATTGCTGCAATGCAAGCTGACAGGCTATCAGCTATCCTGTCTGTCTCTGATTTTTAATCTGTTGATTTCTCTTTTTTTTTTTTCAGGATTCTTCCCCCCCCCTTGTTATTTAAATATGGTTTAGGTTATCATATATGATGTAAAAAGGATGATTAATACCAGTGTGTATGGGAGCACTTTTTCTATGCTGCTACACGTGTTGACGACATACCGAAAACCATCCCATGTGTTTCTTAAGCTGCCCCGGATGAGTGAAACTCTGTACACACTGATCATGACTACATTTACTCTCCAGTGTGAATCCTCTCATGTGTTTTCAGGGTTCGTGAGTGAGTAAACCTCTTACTGCAGTGTGAACACTTGTACGTTTTTTTCTCCAGTGTGAATCCTCTGGTGCCTTTTCAAATCTCCAGCTGTAATAAAAGTCTTCTCACACTCCAAGCACATATACTCTCTCACACCAGTGTGAATCTTCATGTGTTTATTAAGGGATGATGATTGGTTGAAACTCTTCCCACACTTAGGGCATGTAAATGGTTTCTCTCCAGTATGGATCCTCATGTGTTTAATAAGGGATGATGATTGGCTGAAACTCTTCCCGCACTGAGAGCATGTGAATAATTTCTCTCCAGTGTGGATCCTCATGTGTTTATTAAGGTATGATGAGCAGCTGAAACTCTTCCCACACTGAGGGCATGTGAATGGTTTCTCACCAGTGTTGATCCTCATGTGTTCATTAAGGTGTGATAACTTCATGAAACTCTTCCCACACTTAGGGCATGTGAATGGTTTGTCTCCAGTATGAATCCTCATGTGTTGATTAAGGTGTGATGATTGGTTGAAACTCTTCCCACACTGAGGGCATGTGAATGGTTTCTCTCCAGTGTGGATCCTCATGTGTTTAATAAGGTATGCTGATTGGCTGAAACTCTTCCCACACAGTGTGCATATGAATGGTTTCCTTCCAGTGTGGCTCATCATGTGTTCATTAAGGGATGATGATTGGATAAAACTCTTCTCACACTGAGTGCATGTGAATGGTTTTTCTCCAGTGTGGATCCTCATGTGTCTGTAAAGCGATGATGATTTGTTGAAACTCTTCCCACACTGAATGCATGTGAACGGTTTCTCTCCAGTGTGGATCATCATATGTTGATTAAGGTGCGATAATTGGCTGAAACTCTTCCCACACTGAGTGCATGTGAATGGTTTCTCTCCAGTGTGGATCCTCATGTGAATCTTCAGTTTGCATTTGCTTACCAAACTCTTTTCACAGTGAGTGCAGGTAAAACAACTCTTGTCTCTCACTTTTAAAAAACCATCAGTCTCTAAATGAGTTTTGTCTTCAATATTGACATGATGTTCCTCCTCTTTATTCTCATCGTAGTCTTTAATTAGGTCTGAAATAAAAAAAAGTTCAGTTTTTAGTAAATCATTAAAATTCTCATCAAAAGCTGAAGTGAAAAGGCTCTAAAACATTGGCTACACAAACCTTAATTTTAATGCAAATTAAATGTAAAGACATAGCAGATCATATTTAGATTGATCTTGTCATATCAACCTCCTGGTGTCCATTACACACATACACATTTAAGCTAGCGCTGTCAAAATTAACGCGTTAACGCATGCGATTAATTTGAAAATGCGTTAAAAAAAAAAAAAGAAATTAACACAGTTTTTTTTCCTGTTGTGGCAAGGGGCAGTTTCCCGCTGGGTCGACGTACGTTTTGGGCCGGGCCAGGGCCGAACTGGGACTCTTTTTCAGCCCTGGAGTTTCAAGCCTCAGACCGGCTTACATCAGTTTACCACTGACTATATTAAAATAAGGTTATTTCCAATTCAGTTTCTAATTACACTATCACGTTTTTTTTTTTTTTTTGGAGAAAACAGCTCTTTTAGAACTTCAAATGTTCAACAACCCAAACAGTATCATGTCTTAACAATAAAAATGAAAAAAAAAAAATTTAACCAAACGGTCCACAAGGACTGAACCCAGGTTAGCCGCGTCATAATCTAACGTACTAACCACAACAGCTGTACGTTGAATGGCGACTTATCTAGTTATATCATCATTAACCTGCAGGCTGCATCCTGCTCACGAGGCTACAAGAAAATAGATAAAAAGAGCAGAGCTGCGGTAAAATAATGAATAAGAAGGCTGTGGTCAAGTAAATAAATAAATTATTTTTAAAAAGTGTGACTGCTGAGAGCAACAGATTCTGGAACTAGGGACACCGGCCCTCGCGGCCAAAAAACAGATGATCATCTGGGCTGATCATCTTCTTATGATCTGATCGGCAAAAAACTTGGCAGACTATCGTGTTTTTCTGCCTAAGCGATTGACAATCCTTTGAGCTGTCACGCTCTGAAAGTAAGATGTTTCTTTTCCGGACAGAGTGGCCTTGTGACATAATCTGCAGCCCATTGGTTCTTTTCTTTATTGACGTTGGGCTGACCCAATCACAAACTTCCATGTTGTGCTATGTGTAACGTAGGTGTGTATTTGTCAGAATAGTCGAGAGTCGCACCTTATGCGCGAGTCCGAGGGAGAGCAGAAGCGGAGAGCAGGCATTTGCCATTTGCATCTGCGCTCTGCAGCATGCAGCGGGGCACAAATCAATATATTCCTGTCTATTCTATTTAGTTACCTCTCTGTCCATATAAATATACTTTTTTTTACTTTTAATCTCCACCCTGGCCCGCGGCAACTTCCTCCTATGCTGTTTCCTTAACCTGCAAGTCTTTATTTTACAAATTAAAAAAGAATGTCTGCTTCTAAAGCTCTGAGGAGTGTTATTCATGTATTTTAAGATGCACTCGGTCAGAAGACAAGCGCATGAGATATCATGACATTGTGTTTTTAATCATCAGCATGATGTAGGCTTATAGTGACAATAATATTTGTACAATATGGTTATAATAATATTTATACATGACCAATCTAGTGTGCAACTTAAGCAACTTTTTTTTTTACATTTAGTTTTGTAGTTCGGACAGAAACAAATATTTGTTGCATTTTTTAATTGTTTAAGTTCATTTGATTGACAATGTAAAATCTTTTAGCAACGTTTGATGTTTCATTGTTGAGTTAAACATTTTTTTAGGGTCTCTGACACATTGCTTTTATTTTATTTATCTTTATTTTATTAATCAACATTAACTGTGCATCAGCATGCAGTTTTTGTTATGTTCATTATTTATTAGGCTCCCTCAAAACACACAGGCACCCACATTTCCAGTCTGGATTAAAATGTTATTGTAATAATAAATATTAAAGGGGTGGTCCAGAATGTAATTTTAAGGCTTGGTTGTGTTTATAAGATACAAAGCAATGTGTGCTTATGTTTCACTTGAAGGAAATCGCATAATTTTTTCATAGATCTCACTTTGATTATACACAGCTACTCAGCTAACATGAAAATGACTGTCATATTTCCTAGTTCCTCTAAAAGGCCCGCCCTCAAGTGACTCTGATTGGTCATCGTTATAATGTGCTGCTATTGACGGATCGGCTCCACTTCACGCCCATAAAACCACGCGCTTTTCTGCTGTGTAAACATGCAGTCAACCTCGCGCCCGCTCTCTAAAATAACATCTGACAAGTGTCTGTAACTAAGGAGTGAAAATGGGGTGCAGCTCCTTTAACAGCGTCTGTGTGTGCGTTTATGTGTGTGTGAATGTGTGAACTTTCTTTAGCAAGCGCATGTGCGCGGGACTTTCTTTTTCTCTGATGCTCGGATTAAGTTATTTTCTGTAATATATCGTGACAGAAGAATAAAGCACAAGATGTGAGATGCTACCTGTTGAGCCTTGATTTATTATTCTGCTGCGACCACTAGTCAGGTAAGCTAATCTGTATTTTTTTTTTAACTCCATGCGTTACACGATGTCTTTCATGAGTATCCGGAATATGCCGGTGTAAGTAATATAAATCATCCACATATCTTTTGCAACTTTATTATCTGAGATGTGAAACACATGGAAAAGCTGCCTGAAGACAATCAGTGCAGTCCCGTGCGCACACACATAAGAGACACGAACGTGCTGGTTGTGAGTGTGTGTTACAGCAGTTTGGCTGATAGATATGAATTTGTAGCTAAATCGTTTGCCCGCAAAGCAGCATTTTGCATTGTTTACATTATTGCTACAGCATACAGTTAACGCTAGACACTGTACATGTCATGATCAATTTTAACAAATAAAAACACTTACTTGTAGCTTACAACTTCTGCTTTGAGGAGATTTTAGCCGAATCCAGCACTGAACTGGAAGAGATTCTGGAGCTGTTTTGTCAAATTATGCTTGCTGAGTATTTTATAATTCTCTGGAAGATAATTAATATTGAACTGAAGGCACTTCTGTCTTTGTGTCGTGTCCTTTGGTAGCCCAAATACAGAAACAGACGAAGCTCTGTGGAAACAGCCGTGTTTAGACGCATTTTTAGCTTCATCTCTGCTATAACGTTACATTGCTTCTGGCCACGGCCCTTACCTGCATGCACAGTGTGGGATGCGCAGTAAACAAACTTGTGACGTCACAGGGGGCGGCAAAATTCGTTCATTG